GGAAGCTGCACGGCCCTACTGGAGGGACAACACCCAGCCCCGGGACAGGGGACGCAAGCCTGGCCTCACTGGACCTCTCAGGAATGGCAACTGCCACCCATCATTGCCCCAGGGGGCCTGACCCCACAGGGGCCCATGCCAGCACAGGGCAGCAGAGCACCACACAGGAACCATGTCTGCGGTCACTGGTTCCACGACCTCGGAGTCCTAGGCCCTCCTCTGGGGCCTGTGGCCCACCTGTGAAGCCTGGCCCCAGGGGGGAGCCTGGAGGTGCTCAATATGGAGACAGCAGAGGCCACTCCGTGACTCTAATGCTGCCCCTCCGGGAAGCTGCCGGCAAAAATTCCTGGGCCAGGGGTGAGGCAGGGGCTGGGGTGAGGCAGGGGCTGGGCTGAGCGCCCGGAGCAACCAGCAGCTGGGCCTAACCCACCAGAGCCGGGGGCAGCTGGGTTGTGACTCACACCCCAAAACGTCCAGGCCAGGCCTGTCTTTATGAAATCTTCCTCTCTGCCTCCATTACTTTCTATACTGCCTGAAGACTTTGCAGATCAATAAATCCAGCCCCCTGGATGAAAGCCTGGCAGAGCAGTAGTCTCTTGGGTAGGCAAAGAATGGAAAGAGACAGAGGCCAGAGGCTGCCTCCCGCCACCAGCTGGCTGTGTGAACTGAGATACACCCCTCCAGCTGCCCGGAGCCTCCCTCAGCTTGCCCACTGTTACCTTAACGGGGTTAGAGAATCCTGAAGGTCCCACCTGCTCAACTGTCCTGAGATTTTCTGGAAAGACCACATGTTTCCCAAAAACCAAGGAGCAGCCCCGCTGGCCCTGAAGTGCCTCAGATGAAGGCAAGGTCTTAGGGCTGCAGTCCTCCTGTGGAACAGGTGGAACAGCCGTGGCCCCTGGGCTCAAAAGCCCAGGGTGCCTGTCCCAGCTATGTGACCTCAGGCAAGCTCTGAACCTTTCTTAGCCTCAGATTCCAAACTCTGGAAAACGAAGCTGAAACCATTTCCCAGAGGCACGATACAACGGCTGCACGACAACAGCATATCGTGGGCATCTCAAGTCACACCTGCAGCGTAGCTGGACCATCGTTACTGCTAAAATCGCCACCTCCCACCGGTTACAATCCCCACAGGGAAGGACAGTCAGCATCCTCATGGCCTTGTTTCTGTTGATCCTTCTATCCCAGGATCCCAGCCTCTCCTGGGCTGCAGTCATCTATATCAGTAAGTGGAGGTGGGCACGGAGGGCAGGTGGGCTTCCACCCCCCCGTTTTACATTTCCTCCACGGATGGGGGCTTAACCGGCACTTTCAAATGGTAATAGATGCAGCCTTGGTGAAACATAATTAGTCTTGGGACTAGAAGGGTAAACAAATGTGTAATTCATGAATTTGCTAATTGTCCTTCATTTTGATCTTCTGCCATTTTTCCTAGACTCGCTGACTGACATCCGTGCTGGTGGCAAGGACTCAGAGAGTGCCGGGAGCGAACCATGCAGGCAACTGGCACCCAAGCTGGACACCTGGCCTCGCCCTCCTCCCAGCCGCCACCTCCGGCCAGGACCCACTGCCCCAGACGTCACACATGGCAGGAAGCCCATGGCACTCAATCTTTTATTTGCTTAAACTGTACACAAATGTAAAATACTTTAACAGCAAGTCTATGGGAAAATTGTTTGGTTTTAAATTATTATGAAACAGAACCTAAGGGGAGCTTTATTAAATAAACATAAAGATGGGGATTTAAGGATACACACCTGCATTCTACCACAGTCATTCTTACTCTACCTTCTGGGTGTGTAAGGATAGAAAAGACACATCAAACTGAATAAACAGAATCCATTTATACCCTGAAATGCTGGCAGGCCACTCAAGGGATTGTTCTGAACGTCCACCTCAGATAAGATGGCCTCACCATCTAATAAAAATTAAAACTGATCTGTTGGCCTCTTTGGTTCCAAAATTATGTATAATACATTTCACTGTATTTTTTTTTTTTGCTGCTATAAAAATAACTTCTTTTTTCAAACGGCAGTTTCTGACTAATCATGCAACTAAATCAGTGCAAACATTAAAAGCAATCATTCGCTTAAAAAAGAAGCAAAGGATTTCATTTCAAGTATAAAAAATATAAAAAGAGTCGTACGAGTCCAGTTTCGTCTAGTGTGGGGTCAACCCTTTAAATTGCATAGTTCACATGGCACTTGGACATCTAGGGGTGAGCGAGGTCAGTGCTCTGCCAAGGGCCACTTCTGGACACACGCAGCGGGGTAAGTGCTCTATGGTGTGCGTTCAGGCAGCTCTGCAAGTGCTAGGAGGGGCAGGCGGCAGGCGAGCGGGCGGGGCCCCTGCGGTGACCGGGGCCCCCACAGGCAACTTCTGCAAAGCAGCTGAAAGCCTTCCTCATCTCTCCAAGACCAGCTAAACTGCTCTCCTCCATTGCCCCATGCTGAGGGGGCACCCCACCCCCCAGCATTCCCAGAATGCCTCCACCCCAACATTTCCTCCTCTGGGCTCAGCCTCTTGCCTAGGGGTCATTTCCACCCCTCTCCAACCAGTCCTAGAGGAATATCCCCAGTGAAGGGCATAGATTGCAACTTGTTTTCTTCCCATTTAGAACAATTCAGATTTTAACTTAAAAGGTCACACCTGGTAGAAAAGTCCCTTTTCAACTATACAACTGGAATGAATGACCTATCAACTGCTAGTGATCAGTTAAAGCATCAAATTAAGACCCTTCTCCTCTCCCTCCCTCCCCACCCCCAAAACAAACACACACATAAGTCACGCCAGGGACCCAAGCAACAGTCAAACCGTCATTGTCACTGGTCCACGGTCTCTGGCAGGTTAGGTCCTTTCTGGGCCTCCTTCCCTCTACAAGGAGGAGAAAGGACAGGCTCTCTGGGTCCCAGAGCATGAAGGATCCCAGGCGGGAGGGAGCCCACAAGTTTGAGCCAGGAGATGCTGAGGCATGGCAGACCTTGCCCAAGTGGAGGGATTCATGCAGCCCTCCCCCTGCCTGCACGATCCCCACCCTTGCCTCTGCTTTTCCTCTCAGTGGCTCCCGTGCTCTCTCTCTCCGTGCATCTCTGTCTTTGTGCTTTTATGTGTGCTCGGAAGGCGCAATTCAGAGTGGCCGGGCCAGCTGGTGGGAATGGGGGCTGTTCACCCCATTCTCTCCAACTGACAGGCGTTTGTAGCTAAGCTGCCATTTGTCACCGCATCCATTTGCTGGTATCCTGGAGGCTGCTGTGTGGGTGGCAGGATGCATCGGGCTGTGCGTGTCTACGTGTGCATTTTAAAGTATTTCATGTCAGTTGAGGGTTCTCACTCCAGTTTTGACTGATTGCTCGATGAAGCAGTAGGAAAATATTTCAGGCTTCACCCTGGCACCTTCTGGGCAGCCCAATGGAACGACCACGCTCAGCGCACCGTGCACCCCGTTCCCACAGGGGATGGAAGAAGCCCATCCGGGACTGTCCCCGTGCCCCACCACTGCAGCCCCGTCGTCAGGCACAGCCGCACTCCTCCACGATCATGTTGGGCACGTCCCGCTTGACAATGTTGTACTCATCGTCGAAGTAGAGCATGGACATGGTGCTCAGCTTGGTGGGGATGCAGCAGGAGTTCACCGTGCCCGGGTTCAGGCCCCGCATGCGGTACTGGTTCACCACAGCTGTGTGGAAGGAGGAGGCAGAGCCAGGGACCCCCGCCAGGTAGGCTGGGCAGCTACCCTCACAGTAGTTCCCGTAGTAGCCGATGGGTGCGATGATCCAGTCGTTCCAGCCGATGAGGCGGAAGTCGATGAAGAACTGTTGCCGGCAACAGAGATTGGTCCGGCCATCGCACTCCAGGCCCCGCTTGCGAATGCGGTGCCTGCTGTCACCCAGCCGCGCCTGCACAACCACAAAGGGCCGGTGCGACTCCTCGCCGGGGTCCACGAACACGGGCACCACGGCCAGCTCCCGGCAGCCGTCGCACTGCACATCCAGGTTGAGTCGTCGCTCGCCCCGCTCGAACAAGGCCTGGATGGCCTCGGTGAGCGGGAAGGTGTGCCAGCCACTGCGCTTGAGGTCCACCTTCTTCTCAACCACATTCCATCGGTCTCCGCGGCCCTGCTCCTGGAAGTACACCTTGACCCGCACCTTCCGCCGACTGCCCTTCTCCAGGACGTACGGCAGCAGCTTCAGGTAAAGCCACAGGCTGGCCTGCACCACAAACAGGTTCTGGTTGCCTTCATTGGAGATGAAGAAGTACAGGCGGACCCGGGAGGAGGCGAGGCCATCTGCGGAGAAGTGGGAGAGCAGGCCAAGTTAATTCAAGGAGAACACGAGGCAGTGGGGGAAACAGACTCTGCTGCATGATGCTGGAATGCGAGCTCGCCACGCAGCTGGAAGATGTTATGGACCAGAATTACCGTTCCTGGGGCCAGGGCCTGTGACTGTAACCTGGGAGAGGCAGAGAAAATCGTTTCCCATTGAGAAACGCAGCCCAGGTTGGAGCTGGAGTGTCCAGGCCTATAAAATCCTGCCTCACCTCTCCCAGGCCAGGGTTCCCTGGAGACCGATTGTCAAGCCTCAAAGCTCAACAGAGGAACTTGTCAGGAAGCCAACATCTTAACAAGTTGTTATGGGTATCTGTGAAATCTGAAAAACAAAACCAGGATTGCACCGAAGATTTTGGGGTGGGTTGTTTCAATAGAGGTTTCTTTTTTTTTTTTTTTTTTTTGGTTAACTTAGGGCATTGCAAAATCGAGCTGAGCCACCTACCGCCTCTTTCCAGTGTTTACCTAAGCACGATCTGATCCAACCCCCAGTGGAACCTCCACTGCAAACAAGCGAGCTCTGCTCGGATTTCTGACACAGGAACGTGTGCTTTGCAGGCTGCAAAGAGCAGCCCTTGCTTCCAAGTAGTTCCAAGAGACAGGTCATTCAGTCTTGAAACTTGAGGTCCACTCCTTTGATGAGACCCTGGCTCCCCATTAATGGCACGTTCAAAATCTCCAAGGAAAAGGGGAACTGGCTTGTTAGTTTTTTCAGTAATTCAGCTCAACAAGAAGGGAGGCCTTGCCAACTAAGAGACAACTCCTCTCTCATCCTACATTTCAGTGACTCTTCTCTCTAACAATCCCTACTTTTTTCTTTCTTTTGCAGGAAGAACAAATAAGGCAACTGTGTGACCACGGTTGGTTTTATCAAACCTCCTACCACTGCCCCCGCAGCCCCCTCCTCAGGCCCCGCCTGGCTCCTCTAATAACACTGACATCTGACTTTGAAATGGGGGAAAGTGCAGCCTTAAAAGCTGGTCTTGGACAAGCTGCCTGTGACCTGAATCTGTTATTTATAAGTCAAAGAGCTGGCTCCGTGGAACGGACCAGAAATATAACAGCCCCCGCTGTCATTTTGTGCCACCGGGACCAAAAGGCCTCTTCGACCTTCCAGAATCACATTTCTACTCTGGGCCCCAAAGCACCTTTTAATCCAAGCTCTCTAATTGCATGTCGAGCTTTCCCTGACTCTGTCCGACAGCGAAAACGGCAATGCATTTCTTTCTAAGCACAAACCAGCCCCTGATTGTCTCTGCTTTTCTCCACACCCGGCCATGCAAAACTTTTCATCCCTTTTCATCCCCAGGCGGCACCAGCACAGTCTGCCTGCTGCCTGAGAGGGTGGGGGGCATTTGCAGCCTGGGGACACAACTGTTCCCCCCTCCAGGCTCCCTGCCCACCCCCACCCTGCCTGCACCAGGGCTTCCCCCTCTGCGACCTTCTCCGCAGTCCCCTCAGCACAAATGGGGCTGAGCTCCGGGCACAAAAGCCAGGCTGGCTCATTCAAGTCCTGAAAAGGACAGCGGAGTCGAAAGCACTTGCAGCATTTCAGCACAGGCACGTTTTTCTCTTTCTTTTAAAGTTCCGAAAAATGTTTTCTCTCAATTTTTATATTTAGACAGTGATAGAAATTTGCAATCCAGGGCCGGGGGAAAATTCCAGAAAGGATTCCTACCCTTTGTTAACTAAGAACTCTGCAGCTCTCAGGCGAGGGGCTGCTGCCGCTGCCAAGCGAGCCGAGAGGCACGGGGCTGCCCCCGAGCCGCGTCTTTCTCTCCGTAAATGATGGGACCTGTTGAGAAGCCTGCCTTCCGCCGATTCCGGTGCCCACACAATCGGAAGAGAGGTTGCCTAGCTCTCCCCAGTGAGGCTTCAGCAATCCTGGCAAGCCCAAGCCGCCCGGCGATGGAAGCGGCCCCGGGGCCTCTCATGCAGGCGCGCGCGCGCACACTCACTCACACACACACACACACACTCCTCCGGCCCACGGATATCAACAAGCACACACAACTCCATCCACACTGCTAAGCCTACACTCCGATCGTGGGAAACAAAAATATTAAGCAATCACCAAGCAAGTGCCCGCGGAGCCAGGGCCGCACGCATCTGCCGGGAGGGGGACGCGCTCCCAGAGGCGCTGGGGCCAGATTCCGGAAAGCAGGAGTGGAGGGCAAGGCGCACAGCGGCGAGGGTAGGGGAAGCAGGGGGGGGGTCTGCTGTGTAAGAGGACGGCAAATGGACGGAGCGCACAGGGCCAGAGGCGAGAGGCTGGGCCGGGAGTCCGGGCTGCCCCCAGGGCGCGCTGCCTGCGGCGGCCAAAGCAGACAAGGAGAAGGGGGTGGGGGAGGGAGCGAGGGCCACGGCTGGCCGCCCCTGGGACCGACCCACCTGTCTCCGCGAAGCTGATGATTTCCGAGACGCGCTCCTGGCCGTCGGCGCCCGGGCTGGCGTGGCCGTCGAGGTGCGGGATCTCCACGCGGCCGTCCTCGCGCACCTTGCCAGCGTGCAGCTTGCGCAGGGCCGTGACCATGGCGGCCTTGGGCACGGCGTGCGTGATGTTGGGCCGGCCCCGCATCTGCAGGCGGCTCAAGATGTGCCGCTTCACCGCCTCCAGGAAGTCGCCGTCCACCCGGCCCAGCTCCTCGGGCCGCCGGAAGCCGCCACACGACGTGCAGGTGTCCTGCGAGCCGCCGGGGGCTCC